CCATGGTCAACTGGGTCCAAGGCAGGAACATCATCATGGCAGAGGAAAGGTGCTTGTCTCATGGCAACCAGAAAGCAGAATAAGAGGGAAAGAGCCAGAGAGGAATAGGACAGGGCTCACCCATCCCCTGCTATGCTACAGCCTGCCCACTGCCCATCCTGTCTCAATCACCACCTCCCAAAGATAGTGAAACTTGCAGCCAGCTGCCACCCTGGATTCCAAAGCTATCTTCTCTCTCCTACTTCCAAGGTGGGCTTCAAATTCCAGTACCCAGACTCCAGCCTCCTGTCTCTCGTCTGGACCTCTCCTGGGAGGGTATACTGCATAGGAGTTGTAGACTTGGCTATGTCTGGGATCATACATCTGTAGGCTTGGGAATGAGGGGTTGGGGGAGGCATGCCCTGGCTGGGCACCCCTTACACTGCCCTCGGGACCTCTCAAACCATGTGTGGGGTTGAGTGTGAGCCTGTTGTCATCATTGGACCTGTCCCAGGCTCTGGACCCTGGGCATCCTGTTTTCTTTTTCTTTTCTGGTACTGGGGATTGAACTCAGGACCTTGTGCTCACGAGGCAAGCGGCAGAACCAGAGACTAAATCCCTGGCCCTAGAATCCTGTTTTCTACCCTCTCCCTCTCATAAAAGAAGTGGTGAGCACCTCAAGGTCCTACGTGGGCCCCAGCTGCCTTGGTCAGACATACCTGGGAGCTAAGCCTCTGAACACCCTTGAAGCTGCCACCCCTGATTGCTGTAGCCCGGGGCCCTGGTCCGTGTGCTCCATGTATCCACCAGGGTCTCTTGACATACACCTGTCCTCGCACTGGGGAAGCGAGTGGCAGCAGCCATGGCTTTAACTGGACCATGTGACAGAGTGCTTCCTCTCAGGTCAGCCGGGGCCTGGGCCTCATACGGATCTGGCGTGGGTCAATGTACCTGGCAGGAGAGAGAAGGCCCTTGTTCTACCTCAGTGGGGTGGACTAGGGGAGGGGTGACTCAGTTACTTTTCTCTCATTGCTGGGACAAAATACCCAACACCCAAAGTTAAAAGGGGGACGGTTTATTTAGCTCACAGTTTGTAGAGGTTTCAGTCCATAAACGGCTGGCTCCAAGGCAGGGTGGCTTGGCAGAGGGACACCACAGAGGAGAACCACATCATATCAAGCAAAGAGGCAAGGGATCTGACAAGCTTCTTTCCGTCCCTTATATTGTATCCAGGCTACCGAGACTAGGGCAGGTGCCAAGCCAATCAGTAGACTGGTTTAATAATCACTCACCCTTAATGCTAGAATAGCACCGAGAATCAATCACACTCTAGATTCAGCTGCCTCTGAAAAAGCCCCACCTATGACTGCATGAGGCTTTGAGGGACATCTAAACAGAAGCCTTGGCAAGGGGGGTAGGCTCTAACTGGGCCCTACCACACAGATCATTAGGCCCAGGGCCTTCAGGGCTTGATCCCAGCCGGAGACCACACTGGCCAGACTCCACTGGACCTCTCTCACTGCCCTGCCCAAATCCCCATTACCATGATGGTTGCCATCAGCTCTCTGCTTCCGACAAAGAATAAAGTCCCCAGCATGGAGCTAGGCACTTCTTCCTGCCATGCTCTGGAGGGTCCATCATCTGACCACTGGTCATTATCTGGCTGCCCCTGTGGGGTGCAGGCTCTTACCCAGGTCTGTATGGGAGAACAGACGGGAAGAATGAGACCTAATATGCCTCCTCCGTGAGCACTGGGAAGAAAGAGAGCACACAAGCATGCTGACACGCTGCAGGGAAAAGTAAAAACACCTGCAGTTAAATTGTTCACTGGGAGAAATGCCATGGAAAGAGGGAGACAGGTGAATCCTGTGGGATCCTAATCACTTGTGCCTGTGTCTAAGTGAATAAAGCCAAGGTGCCCCAGTCAGTTGGGGCTTTATGTCAAAGGAAAATGTAAACCCCCTGCCCCCCCAGCTTTTAACCTGTTTTAGTATCTCTATTCTTCATTCTTGTCATCCCTTGGTCAAGTTTGAGCTCAGCTCATAGGCTGGTTCCTGCAGATCTGAGTTCCAAGGACAGGGTCTCTAACATCACCCACCTCTTCAGGGAGAATGGGCCTTTGCAGGTGAAAGTCTCAAGTTCTAGCTGTGTTCTGGGCCCAGGCTGTTTTGACCCTTGCCCCAGGGTACAAGACAGGGATGGGGAAGAGGACTCTGTAAGAGGCGCCATAGATAAGTAGGAAGAGGACACCAAGATCCAAATGTGTTGCGGGGGGGGTGCTTCACAAGTCACTCCATGCCTTAGTTTCTGTCGCGAGCCGCGATGTCGGGGTCCTGCCAGCAGGCCCCAAACCTGAGAGGACTCACCGAGAGTAAACACACTGAGTCATGCTCAGATTCAAACAGGGTTCTTCTTTATTCTTCTTTTACTTCTACTTCTACTACTACTACTACTACTACTACTTTCTGCCAGATGGCTCTCACACTTATATCAGGCAATAATATGAAAGTAAAAACAACTTCAAGGATGAAAAACAATCTGAAGGATAACCGTACAAGGCCACAATTATGGCTCCACAAAGTACACATGATTTACAAGAAGCAGGTGTTTTTTCTGGAAAGCGAAACTCAGCTCTACAAAATGGTTATTGTAAATAATGCCATAAGATGGCAGCCGATCACGGCCAATCAGAACTTACAACATAGCAACTCCTTCGCTCAGGGAACTGCAATGCAAGCAGCCAGCTGTCTTGCAGGCAGTCTCCCACAGTTTCTCCATGTGTGAGATAGGAGCACAAGCTGCTAGGAGTGCTGAGCCCCAAGGTTTGGCACATGGCCCAACCCCGCTGGCTACTCCTGGAGAAGGGGCACTCACTCTGTAGGTAAAGGAACAACAGCAAGGTGGCCATAGTGGGCAGAGGACAAGGAAAGCTGTGGAGGGGTATATTGGGTAGTGGGAGCCAGTGGACAGCGGAGCCCTCCTGGGCCTTTGCAGCCCCAGACTGCCCCAAGCCTAAGACCAAGGAAGGCATGGCTTAGGGCCCTGGGCAGGGACAGGAGCAAAGACCACTACCCCACCCAAGGACAGAGAGAAGAAGGACTTCAAAGGTGGGGGAAATGTCACAGGCTCTGAATCCAGGATCCTTGGATGTTAAGTTCTGTTGCCTGAACGTGATGGGACCTGGGGAACACTGGACATGCCATCCTCACAGGGTGCCTTTGGGGTCCTGTGGAGGCCTCTCAGCCTGCCTCCAGCCAGGCCAGAAACCCTATCCCGTCCTGGAAGGAACCACCAGAGGCCAGTGCAATGTCCACTCCTGAGGGCACCAAGGATCAAGGCCAATACCAGCTGAGGACCAGATTGGCATGAGTGAGCAGGTTTCTACTTCTCAATTTTATGTTACCAATCTGTTGAGCCCTGAGGGTGCCAGAGGAGGGACCTTGGTACACACATGATGGCATGAGAGCCTAGGATAGGACAGAAGAGCCCCTACTGGAAGGCTTCTATTTGGTCTTTCCCCAATTTTCTGTAACAAGTTATGCATCACTTTCATATTAAAAGCCTACACTTTAAGCTAATATCCCCATGATGTTTTAGTTTGTTGATTTTTTTTTTTTTTTTTTTTTTTTT